CAATGTCGTCCTATAACTCATGCAGCTCATCGTTTTATCGAATGCGGCAGAATATTTTTCTCAAAAACTCGTAACGTCGACTCTTCAAATGTTACCATCGTTCATACCTCTGCACCATATAACAGGGCGGGAATAACGAGTGTTTGGTTTTTGTTCGGCGAGAGAGAACTTTACTTCTCAATTGCCTACTCAGTCGGAAATAGCACTTGCTGGCAAAAGTTATTCTGCGTTGGTTTTCGAGGCTGACGTTGGTGTTGGTATTAATAATAATTACAAGTTATGCCTGTCAACAGTGACGTGGGAGCCCAGTCGCGAGTGCGACGACTGTTTGTTTGATGACAGGAGATATTTCGTCTTGCGCTCGTTCACTGTCAGACTTATTTGATTCGATTCTTTACTCAATTTGAAGAAAACAGAACTAACGGCCAAGATTTAAGTCAATTATCAATACACTTATTTGAACCCACACCTTTCCTTCAGTACCTTCAGCGAATTTAGGGTTTTTTCGGTTTCGGTTTGCTTTTAGAACTCCATTGGCTTGATTGTTAACTTGTTTGCATGTTAAACTCATAAACCCATATCTCATCTGCAGTTATAATACTCTCCATGAATGTGCGATCGAAAACCGCTCAAAAATCAAAGTGACGCTCATTGTTTTTTTTGATATTCGGAGTTTGGTGCATCATAAATTTGTTCCACGGGGACAGAAAGTCAATAAAGAGTTCTATTCGGCGATATTATAGCGTTTGCGTGAGAACATCTGTCGAAAATGGCCGGAATTGTAGAAGAACAATACATGGATTTTACACGATGATTATGCACCATCGCATCGAATAACGAATGTGACCGAATTTAAAGCCAAAAACGCAATAAATACCATCGATCAACCACCGTATTCACCAGATATAGTTACGCTCGATTTTTTCTTGTTCCCCAAACTGAAATTGTCGCTCCGTAGAGAGCGTTTTCAGTCGATCGAAGAGATAAAACAAAGTTCGTGGATTCGTGGCATTACATTGAATACTGATGAATAATTAAATATTTTGCGTTTTATTTACAATTTGTGGGTATTTTTTGCCAAAATGTATATTCGTATATGTATGTGTTTAATATTATTTTCTGCGAAATACATCGATAAAGTACTACATATTAATAAGGTTTATTATCATGTAAGAAATTTTGCGAAGACTATCAGTGAAGAGTGTTCATTTAAGGGCAAATTCGCTCGCTTGGTTGGACCGAATATACTATATATGTAATATGTAATTTGGATGAAAAGATGAAAAAATTACTCAAAATTTCAACTCAAATCTCAACATTTTTTAAGATATAAAAATTCTTTGAATTATTAATTGGTTTCAAGAGGTTCAAATTTGAATTACCCTCTAGAATTCGCTGAAACTGACTGAGAGCTTGTATTATAATGGTTTTAAGCCAAATCGATCGCTGCTGACATATTGGTATAGACCTCGTTAAACCGGAGTTTTTCTATAAATAATCTAGTGTTTGTAAATTTATTCAAATTCCAAATTCGATTATTCAATTAATTTCAAACTTCTACAAAGTTATGAAACCAGTTTTCTTTTGTCGAGACATTACAAAAAGTTAAGCACTGTTCTTATTTTACACTTACCCTTTTAATTTACATGATTATACATACACAGATACATGTGTCCATATCGGCATATACGCGGGTCTGTCTATCGGTAATCTGATACGAGTGTACGTCGTGTGACCACATTTTTTGCTGCCCTTACGTAGCTGCTACGTGCAACTCTTTGCTCGGCGGCGCCTCTGCAACATTCCAATTTCTTGCAGCATGTACATATGTATGTATGTAATAAAAAAAATTGTTGCAACATGCATGTTTGCCATCCACGAATATAGGTACTATTATGTAGTGACAAGAACGAACACTGTATTCAATTTTGAAACTGAATACTGCTAGACACACACATATATACATACATGTTTAATTTCCATGCTTGCTTCGGCTTATGATGTAAGGTTAAGTTGAGGCAGCCGAATTTTGCAAATTTATCAATGAACGTAACGGTATATGTACATATCTCTTCTTTGTAGGCTATTTTACATAGGTCTGCAGACAAATTTGTTTGAGAAGTACCTCGTTGAATTTTAAATTCAGATTTTGAATTTAGGAATCATTCTAAACTCTGTGCGCAATAATAATATAAATACAGTTGCATTTTGCAAAATATTTTCGTGATTGTTGTTTTGCTTGTTTGGTAGTTTCCTCACTTAACCACATCGCCATATCGAGTATCAAATGAAATATTCTCTCGCGTTTTGCGATTTTCTTTGTCTATGTTCGCTCTTTGAAGCGTTGATAATTACCGAATCGAATTAATAAATGCAGTTAGAAGTATAAATGTATATATGTCTGCACATATATACATATGTATAGCAAACAAATGGAATACAAGAAAAAGAAAGAAAAACACTAAGAAAATCCAGAGTCCAGTATGGTTTATGTAGCCGACTTCGAGATATGCTGTAGGTCTTGATCAATTATACATAGGATGATATATGATCTACTTCTACATATACATATATTCAAAGAATGAGCGTAACAGCAGAGAAGTTTTCAAAACTATTAACGCTTATGACCCAGGCTTCAGGGGAATATTTAAGGAAGAAGTATGGTGAGTATATCAGAGTACGGCCTTGCTTCAATGTATATCAGGTTGAAGATGGTTGAACTCAACATCGAAATAGACTGCAAATACTCGGGTCTTAATCAATATATGCACTGGAAGTTCTGGGAATCAGATTATCTTAATAAGTGTTTTTAATTCGTTAGAGTTCAAAGCCTCCGCTTCAAGTACAGTTTTTAGGAGCTGTCAAATTTGCTGTTGTTGTATAGGTAGAAAACATTTTATATATATAAAATTCAAATTTATAATAATTCATATAGGATATGAGCACGCGTTTTGTTATGGTTTGTGAGAAGGTGGAATAATCGGTCCATATTTCTTCAAAAATGATGCCGGTGAGAACGTAACCGTCAATGGCGACCGTCGAGTTTACGGAATGAGAACGGACCCGGAATTTTATCTGGCTAAGGACTGTCAACTCGGCAGAATTCTGCTGCTCCAACAAAACCAACAACGGTTATCGAGCCATTATTAATCCTGATCTCGGCGACATTTGATTTCAATAAGACGGCGCCACTTCCCCACACGTCGCATCAATCAATGGATTTATTGAGAGAACACTTCGGTGAGAAGATGCTTTCACGCTTTGGTCCGATCGATTGGCTACCAAGATCGTGTGATATCACACCGTTAAACTTTCTCCTTACGGGATTCAGGCCTTGAAGCAAAACATAACGCGTTTCATTTGCCAGTTACCAGTCGAAATGCTCGAACAAGTCATCGAAAGTTAGACTGAAAGGATGGACCATCTGAGACGTAGCAACGGCCATCATTTGAAAGAGATAATCTTAAAAAAATAAATGCCAAAGGATGTTGGGAGCCTCGAAATGGATCAGGTTTTATATATGAAGTGATCTAGTTTTACTCTTTCTTTCTTTTAAAGTGCCTAAATCATTTTTTTTTAACATGTTTATGAAAATAATATGATAATATAATAAATAATATAAATGAAATCAGCCAACAATCAATAAAAATCGTAAAGTGAATGGCAAAGCATATTGCCAAACAACAGAGAGGAAGAGGGGCAAAAGTGAAACACATCACAAATACTCACATGTGTATATGTGTATGTATATGTGAGGCAACTAGCTCAGCGGCGCGCTCATTGGCTGCTTGGCGGCGCATTTTCCTTAGAATTGAGTTATTATTGAGTTTTGCCTGAAGCGGTAATTTAATTGTAACAACAAGACACTCTTACAATGCTTATTGCCTACTAAGATCACATGCCATACACACGTACCCATAAATACATATATTTGAAACGCGCCTTTGGTGTGAACGAATGACCACAATGTCACTTCCTCCGCTACGTATTTGTATTATTGAAAGTAAAATGCACTCACGAAGGGGGTGTTCCAATGGTGTGGTGTGAATGGACGAGACATTCGAAAAGAAAAACTATTGAAGTGCAACAACAAATAGCAATATAGCAATACCGCTTTGGTGGTAGTTGTAAATGCGTTTGCTGGTAGTTGTTTGGTGGATTTTCAGCTGTATTGGTGTGAATGCACACGATCAATGCTAATTTAGACAGCGACTCATTCACTTAAGCGCCCTGTGCATGAGTGTGTGTGAAAATGAGTGACTGTTTGTATGTGTATGTAATTGTGTGTGTGTGTGTGTAGTTACCGGTCGTCGTGGGCATGCCATGTTGTAAGTAATGAGCTGATATTGGGTGACAAGTAAGCAAAGTACGTACTACCGTCGAGCTGCCGTATTGGCTCTGCGTTGGGGGTAGTGCAGGCTCAGTCCACAGCAATGAAGTGCAGGCAGTGAAGAGCAAAGGCAAGGCACTCATCAACACTTCGATGCAGACAACTGGCTGCGGTGCGCGTAGAAGGGGTGTTCCCGCTCCCTTATTGTTTGTATTTCTTCCTACACCATCGCTTAAGTTGCTTATTGCATATGCTTTTGTTGCTTCTTTTGTCTTGTTATGCTTTTAATTTGTCGCCTTTTGGCTTTTAGTGGTTGCTATTTTCATTTGCTTATTTAGTTTTTTATGCATTTGCTAGTATATGTAAGTTTTTTTTTGTTTGCGGTTCTCGCACTTTCCCACTTTTATTCAGTTTTTCGATGATATTCTTCATTGGATGACACGGCACCGCCCGATTTCGTTGTTTTAGTTGCAGTTCTCCGTTCAACGCTACAAGTCGCTTTTACAAAAAAGATAATTCAATTAAGTATCAGCTCTGCGGGTCTTGAGTTGACGGCGTGCCGGTCGTACGGTTGTTTCATAAGTTAAAAGTTTTCGAAATATCGCCTGAAATTGTGTTTAAATACTATGTACATATGTAAATAATAAATAAAATATACGTACATCTATGAAAATTTTCAAATTATTCATACTCTTTTGTGCACAAAAAATAATTGTTAGTGAATAACAATAAAAAAGCTAGATGAAAACAAATCGGCGTTGTTGTTATTCATACTAAAGGATACAAGGCATACAAATAAAGGATACGCGTCGATCATGACTACTATGAAACTCGTTAAAAGGTATGGAATAAGGAGGATATGATTAACAGAAACGATATATAAAAATATGGTTTAAAAAAGTAGCGAAAATCATTTTATAGTGAAAATTTAAATTCACCGTGGAAAAAATTAATATAATAAGAGA